TAAAACGCTACTCATCTTACAGTTTTGATCTGATTTTAATATAACTTGGCACACAAGTAGACTACACTAAGATACATAAAATAGTGCATCGTTTTTTGATTTTGATGAACGGTGTTGCCATGGTTACTAAAAATAGAATTTTCTGTGAAATTCCTTTAAAACGCTACTCCTTCTACAGTTTTGGTCTGATTTCAATATAACTTGGCACACAAGTAGACTACACTAAGATACATAAAATAGTGCATTGGTTTTTGATTTCGATGAATGGTGTTGCCATGGTTACTAAAAATAAAATTTTCTGTGAAATTCCTTTAAAATGCTACTCCATCTACAGTTTTGGTCTGATTTCAATATTACTTCACACACAAGTAGACTACACTAAGATACATAAAATAGAGCATCAGTTTTTATACCCCCGCAAACGAAGTTTAGGGGGGGTATATTGGAATCACCATGTCCGTCTGTCTGTCCGTCTGTCTGTAGACAAGATTTTGTCCGGACCGTTTCTCAGAAACTGTTGGATGGATTTGTCTGAAAATTTATACACTTATTATTCACCATATGAAGGTGTGCACCTGGGATTTTCATCATGATTGGATGATTTTTCTGCATTTTACAGGCATTTTTTCTTTTTTATTTTGTGATTTTGTTTGGCTCATAACTAGAAAACTATTAGACTTACAATCATCAAACTTGGACAATTTATGCATCTTGGATAGACGGTGTGTCTCGACCTATTTCAAGGTCACTGTGACCTTTAATTTAAGTGATTTTTTTTTTTTTTTAAAAAACTAAGTCTTTAAAATTTTAAATTTCATAATCCTAAAAAATGTAAAAATATAGTTGTATCCTTATTAAAAAATGCTAAATTAAGTAAAAACTTATTTTTTATCATATACTTTACAGCAAATTCTGTAACAAATGTTAATGATTTGAGAGGAATTCAGTTTGTCCCATGGGCATAATTATCAAGCACTGGTCAAGGAGAATTTTTGATAGCAGAAATGTGCATGTCAAATTAGAGAGAAATTAATGAGTTCATTGTCAGGAGTTAACTGGCAAGAGCATCATGCAGTATTATCTTAATTCATCTCTTGGGAGTTGGGCAAAAAGAAATGGCCTAATAGTTGCTTGTGTTAATTAAGAGTTCTTGATGGCTGTAGTTCAGATAAAGATCTTTCAATTGGTGTAATGTAATTAAAACAAATTGATGTTTTAGTGTATGATTAAAACTGAATTAGTATTGTATAATATAATTAAAATTAATTATACATGTGTTCATTGAAAAAAAATTACATTTTTATATATTTGCAACAAATTGCAGTCATGTCTCACTTAGAATTTTATAGTCTACAGAATAATAATTTTTGATTTTTTTTTATTAGACTGTAGCATTTCCATTATTTCATAAAGTATGCAATAAACAAATAAAAAGCTGCAGATGGATATTTGTTACGCTCTAACACAGCCAGTTTAGAATTATATGATGTATTATTTGTTTTAATTAATCCCTACACTGTAAGTCTCTTAGAGATGTATGTACAATATTTTAAACATGATAAGAAATGGAAATTAGATCATTGAAATCTGTGTCAATCTGTTGATCAAGGTTACTTGATTTTCTTGCACCCTAACCAATTTATGATTATCGAACAATATTTGATGGGCGTATCATGCTGTGGCGGGGCACTTTATTAGACAATAGTGAACACCTCTTACTAGATCCGTAAAATATTTCTGAATTGGCACCTACTCTGAAAAACCCAGCAGGGGTATTTGTCCCTATTGGACAGTTCTAGTTGATTTTGATGAACAGTGTTGCCATGGTTACTAAAAATAGAATTTTCTGTGAAATTCATTTAAAACGCTACTCCTCCTACAGTTTTGATCTGATTTCAGTATAACATGGCACACAAGTAGACTACACTAAGATACATAAAATAGTGCTTCGGTTTTGATTTTGATGAACAGTGTTGCCATTGTTACTAAAAATAGAATTGTCTTGAAAATTCCTTTAAAACGCTTTTTCTTCTACAGTTTTGGTCTGATGGCATTGGATTCTTTTTTCATCCTTTGTTATAAGTACAAACCAGTAGAGCTACAGTCTAGACAGAGACTTCTGGTTTTTTTCAACACTGAATTGACTTCTGCTTTTCTCTAGTCAAGTGAGCAATGTGGCCTATGGGTCTCTTGTTTGTTTTAAGAGTAGTATTTATTTTCAACATTTCTTCATTTCAAGTTTGTTTGAATTATGGATACTTGAACTTGGGTTAAGTTTAAAATTGGGGATCAAATTTTAAATGAAACAGGTAAAGCTAAAAGACTTTTTAAAAAATCTTCTTGCCCAGAACCATAAGGACATGTTAGTTTCATTGACGTATAGAATTTCCATGCTATGTGGATTTAAGATTTTTATAAGACCCATTGAAGCTAGGATGGAGTCATATTATGAGGTCAAAATTTGTCATTGGATTATTGAGGACCCAAAAAACAACAGGGCTAGTGTGACCTTTGGGTCTTTTTGCATTAAAATACACTGTCTTTAAAAGCTTTGAATATTCAAAGCAAGTGCAGTAATAGCCTTTACCTAAGATCAGATATATTTATTTCAAGAAGTTGTAACATGCTATGTAATGAGATATAATGGCATACTTTGATATTTATAAGTTAACTTAAAATTTTAGGAAGCAAAAAGATTTCAAAACATTGACAAATCTTGGGTGAAGATAATGCAGCGTGCACATGAATGCACTAATGTTGTTCATTGTTGTGTTGGGGATGAAACCCTTGGACAGCTTTTGCCACATCTGCTTGAACAACTGGAACTATGCCAAAAGTCACTGACAGGGTATACTTTGTTTGTTCTTTTATCGACTAGAAATTAATTGCATCAACAAATGACACTGTAAGCATGGCAAGTGAGGAATGATAGACAAATTCTTCATCATCATGCATGTTCATTCTTCAAAATTTCACACAAAACCTTGCAAGATTTCTTTTTAACTATCACTTTGATACAGTAAATGTTTTTCAAGATATTTTATGACCTTAAAATGTGCTACATTACCACTTTCACAGTTTGTTTTGTGTATGATACATTTTGTTTTGTGAACAGTTTGGTTTGCTTTGAGAATATTTCATTCCATGCATGTTTCATTTTTATACCCCCGCAAACGAAGTTTAGGGGGGTATATTGGAATCAGCATGTCTGTCTGTCTGTAGACAATACTTTGTCCGGACCGTTTCTCAGAAACTATTGAATGGATTTGTCTGAAAATTTGTACACTTATTATTCACCATATGAAGGTGTGCACCTGGTATTTTCAGCACGATTGGGTGATATGCATTTTACAGGTGTTTTTTCTTTTTTCTTTTTTGGTTTTGTTTGGCTCATAACTAGAAAACTATTAGACTTACAATTATCAAACTTGGCCAATTTATGCATCTTGGGTAGAAGGTGTGTCACAACCTATTTCAAGGTCACTGTGACCTTTAATTTAAGTTAAATTAAAAAAAAATGTCTTTTACTATTGAATTACACAATCCCCAAAATTGTAAGAGTGTTGCTGTATTCCTATTTAAAAAAAATGTTTAATTAAGAAAATAATATTTTTTTCATTATATACTTACAGCAATCCATAACAAATGTTATTTTATAAGAGATACTCTACCTCTCCCCAGGGTATAATTATCAAGCACTGGTCAAGGAGAATTTTGATAACAGAAAATTGCATGTCATATTAGAGAGAAATTAATTAGTTTGGTGTAAGGAGCTAACTAGTAGAACATCTCTGTTTATATCTCTTAGGAACTGGGTGAAGGAATCAGCCTTAAATAGATTTAGTGACAAGCCAAACTTATTTAATGAATTTGATAATTAAAATAATATGATATTGTATAATAGACTTATTTCATATTGTATAATCATATAATTAAAACTAATTATACTGTGTGTGTTGGGGGGGGGGGGGGATATTGGAATCGGCATGCCCATTCTCTATATGAATTTCAGATTGAAACTTTGTCTGATTTTAAGATAGTCCCTACAAAAGAATCATGAAGGAACCTAAGTATTCAAAATGATGCATTGAGATTACACATTTTCTTTTGTCTGTATTAATCTTTGTAACAAATTTATACAAAAGCTTTGCTTTCAGATTTAATTTCAGAATGACACAATCATGTATTTTGATTGCTCTACAAAGGAGATAGTTAAGATCCATTCATCCCTTGACATTAATTAGTGGACATGCATCCAGTCAAAGATTAATTAATGAGTTCAATGTAGGAAAGCTAGCTGTCTCAATCATTTCTGTTATAGAGCATCGCTGATCAAGGAGCTCTTATCTGTGTCCTTTGGGAATTAGACAGAAGACCTGCTGGTCAGTTTAAATAGCATATGTAATTTGATGGCCAGCCTTCTATTTCTAAAATCAATTTGTTATTGATTAAGTTTTTAATACTAATTAGTTAAATTGAAATATTTTTTTTTAAAAAAATTGAAAATATCAAGTGACAAATTTCAGAGCATCATGTCCCACATGAAAGATATATGCATATGTGTGTGTTTGTAGGGGAGGGTCATTTTTAAAGGGCATTTGCAGAGTATCATGACAAGTAGTTGCAATTTATTTTTTCAATGAAATAAAAAAATAACATACTGTTACAATGTATAAGTATTGATGTTTTGATGATATTGTTTGGTTGCACCTTAGTTTCATTTATTAAAAAAAAAAATATAATGAGCAATTATATTTTCACTTGAATTGTTTCTAAGAAAATGGTGAACACTTGTTAATAGATCCATAAAATATTTGTGAATTGGCACCAATTCTGAAATACCCAGCCCCTATTGGACAGTTCTATTTATGTTTGATATGATTCATTTTGTGCACAGATTATTTTTTTTTAGGCATTGTACAGTACACTTCTTGTCCAGAACTGTTCCTTTCTGAAGTGTAGTTACTGTAGCATATTTTAGGGTCTCCTTTTGTATTCTTCCTATAAAAATCTACAGTGCTCAACCTCCTAGTCTATTCATCGTTTTCAGATAATTGACATTTCATAAACCCCACATTGAAAGGTATAATCATAATATCAGGTACATGTATTTAAATCATCTGTGACAAATGCTATAAATCTTTTTTCTTTGTTGAGTTTATCATTTTCCTTTTCAATTGCAGCTATCTTGAAAAGAAACGACTTGTTTTTCCAAGATTTTTCTTTGTATCGGATCCAGCTTTATTGGAAATCCTAGGTCAAGCTAGTGATTCTCACACAATTCAGGTACTGTCTGTTTTTTTAATGAAATGTTTCTGCACTGTGTTCTATTGGTCTGCCTATCTATGGCAAGTCCTGCTCAGTAAAATTATATACTGACACGCAAAAGAAACGCAACAAGCAGTAATTTACCAATGTTGGATTTTTTATCTTATGATTTTCAAAAGCGAATAAAGTAAGGCTAAATTCATTTTTCAGAACATCAGAGATTTGATAAAAATGTTAAATGTTGATCTGTTTACTCTATTAAGTAAATTATGACTGTTAAAACACCCCCCTCCCAGCTATTCAAGAAAAACAAGCAAGACTGCCCTAAACAACAATTGCAGATTAATTTCTATGATACAATAGGTTCACTTATATCAAGATCTCAGCGAAGGAAAAATTCTTTGACATTTTTAAATGCCCGTTTTTCAGATAATTAGGTCGAATTTTCTCTAACTTAGAGCAGTGTAGTCAGCCTTGGACTTCCGGTACAAGGACTATCCTTAATGCATATGATACGTAAGACCCTGTCGAGGCGAAATGTAGTGAAATTTGGCATCAGCAACTCTCCATCACCTTTACATTGAAATTTTCCAGCTAGAGCAATGGAAATGCGTACATAAGCCATTTTCAAGTAGCCTTAGCATTGTTTCGGGAAACGAAAGTAGAGTTTATTTTTTGAAATATTGCTGCATTACTTATGGTGAACAGTAAAAAACACTTAAAACTCCATTACATTGCCAAATGTTTTGTTAAACATGCAATTTTTGATTTATGTTAAGCAGACTAAAACTTGACTTCCGGTTATGGTATGGAAATTGTTCAACCGTTAATTTGCTGATGTTCACCAAATTGAAGATATTCATAATTTTAAGATACAGAATTCTTTACTTTACATAATTATTTCCCCTAAAATAGGGAGTTGCGTTTCTTTTGCGTGTCAGTATACTAACTAACCATGATCTGTTATTTGTCAATTGAATTACCTCCAAACTTAACCTTGAGTCATTTTCAAGTGATTATAAGTGTATTAATGCTAGAAATTACTTTGATATGAGGTTACAAAAATCGTTAAACACCTGTTTAATGTAGTTTTGGCACATGACCTAAAATACTTCATATTGGATAAGTTATGAAAGTAATCAGTTTTATTGAATGTCTTAAAAAATGATAAAAATAAATAAAACGTCTTTTCTAGTCTCATCTTCTGGGTGTTTTTGAAAATGTCAATGAAGTTGAATTTCATGAGAAGGATTATGACAGAATCCTGTCCGTGATTTCAAGAGAAGGTGAAAAAATTATGGTAAGTTCTTGAAAATATTCTCAAGTTTTTTACACCCCCCGCAAACCAAGTTTGGGGGGGGGTATATAGGAATCACCTTGTCTGTCTGTCTGTGCAAACATGTCCGGTCCATATCTTTCTTACAGAGGAACATTAGAATCTACTACTCCACACAAAGATTACCTATGACCCAAGGGTGTGTCATGACCTTGACCCAAGGTCATTTTGGGAAGTTCAAGGTCACTGGAAGAAAAATTTCTGAATTCGTGTCCTGTCCATATCTTTCTTATGGATAAACTTGGTAGGTTCTCATTTCACACAAAGATTGCCTATAACCCAATGGTGTGTCATGACCTTGACCCAAGGTCATTTTGGGAAGTTCAAGGTCACTGGAAGAAAAATTTCATTATACGTGTCCGGTCTATATCTTTCTTATGGATAAACTTGGTAGGTTCTCATTTCACACAAAGATTGCCCATGACCTTAATAGTGTGTCATGACCTTGACCCAAGGACATCTGTGCAAGTTCAAGGTCACTGAAAGAAAAATTATATGATTCATGTTTGATGCATATCTTTATTATGGAAAAACTTACCTCTGAAAAACCCAGTGAGGGGTATTTTGTCCCGTTTGGACAGTTCTAGTTTGGAACAGATTGCTGGATAGATAAACAAGTTTTATTTTTAAAAAAGATTTTTTTTTAAAAAATCTTTAGCTTACCTAAGCCCAAGACTCATCTAGGTTTTTTTTGGGTCAAAGTTGTTCATCTGTGTGTCTGTCCATCATTAACTTTTTACATTTTGGGGACTAAAATATGAAGTAAATTCTTAATAATTCAATAAAAATAAAAAAGTAAAGAGTAAGTGCACATTAGTAATTTGATATTCAGTATCGCCATTTATTGAGAATTAAAGGTGTTTAAGTCACGACAGGGTTAGTCTGTTCATGGATTTAAAATTTTTCATTTTTTAAAAATCTCATGATAAACCAGGGTGACTGGTGTGAGCATTGTTTGCTAAGCATTTTTTCAAGACATGGTAATAAATGAGCATTTGGAAACTTCCATTGTAAATTTAATAGGGAACTTGATAAGAGGTTTAATTAATACATATTTATGTTCCCCAAACGAAGTTTGGGAACATATTGTTTTTACTCGGTTTCTTATTATGTTCCCCAAACGGAGTTTGGGAACATATTGTTTTTACTCGGTTTCTTATTATTATTATTATTATTATTATTATTATTCTTTTTTTTCTTCTTTGTTCTCCGGTACTTTTTTTGTCCGCGAGTGTTCTCAGAAACTGTTCACCCAACTAAGTTAAAACCTTTTTAGGGTTAATAGGTGTCAAGTGTAGGTGTGCACAACGAAGGTCATTTTGCGCGCATACGCATGCACGTGCGTGCGCGTGAAATGAGTGAAATGACTAATATACTTATTATAGCCATAACTTTTACATTTTTTATTGAAATGCTTTGAAATTCATTCTATAAGGATATATTAATAGTCTAGATAATATGACATGGTCAAATTGGCACGAACTCACGTGCATGCACGTGCGCTTCCCTCTGATTGGCTGAAACAAAGATTTCAATATCTCTTTTGTTTTTTGACGAAATGCTTTGAAATTTTAAACATAGTCATGCATTAGGATATACTACAATATAATATATAGCAGGTATCATGAAAACATGCGCATGCACGTGCACTGCAATCTGATTGGCTTAAACTTTAAATGGGTATAACTCCTTTGATTTTCAACCAAACAGGATAGGATTTAGAACAAAAATAGACATAGTGGATTCCTACAAAAAGGTAAGGTCATCATGCACATGCATGCACGTGCATGCACGTGAGATGGGTAAAATCAAAAATACACTTGATGAAGCGTATTTTTTAATACTTTTGGATTAAATGCTTTATTATTTTATTATATTAATGTATATAGATAGTGTAGACAAGAGAATATGGTCATTACGCACATGCATTTACATGTGCACGCGTGCAAATGCTAAAATTCGAATATACTCGGTATACTTCAGGGAAACGTTGTTAAAGTGTAAAATGCATAGAGTTTGTCGTTTTTAATGAAGCTTAAAGGGAGTATGGCACCAAAAGGGAGTTGGGGAGCGTTTGGGGAACATCTGTAACGGTTCCCGTTACAATTAGCCCTAGTTATTATTATTATTATTCTTTTTTTTCTTCTTTGTTCTCCGGTACTTTTTTGTCCGCGAGTGTTCTCAGAAACTGTTCACCCAACTAAGCTAAAACCTTTTTAGGGTTAATAGGTGTGTAGTGTAGGTGTGCGGAACGAAGGTCATTTTGCGCGCATACGCATGCACGTGCGTGCGCGTGATATGAGTGAAATGACCGATATACTTAATATAGCTATAACTTTTACATTTTTTAATGAAATGATTTGAAACTCATTCTATAAAGATATATTAACAGTGTAGATAATATGACACTGTCAAATTAGCACGAACTCACGCGCATGCACGTGAGCTTCGCTCTGATTGGCTGAAACAAAAATCTCAATATCTTTTCTGTTTTTTGACGAAATGATATGAAATTTAAAATATAGGCATACTTTAAGATGTTCTACAATGTGATATATAACAATTGTCTTGAAAACACGCGCATGCACGTGCGCTGCAATCTGATTGGCTTAAACTTTAAATGGCTATAACTCCCTTGGTATTCAACCAAAGAGGATGGGATTTAGAACATAAACACATATAATGGACTCCTACAAGAAGGTATGGTCATCATGCACATACAGGCACGTGCGTGCACGTGCGCTTCGTTCTGATTGGCTGAAACAAATCTCAATATTTTTTCTGTTTTTTGACGAAATGCTATGAAATCTAATATATATATATATATATACTTTAGGATGTACTACAATATTATGTATAACAATTATCGTGAAAACACGCGCATGCACGTGCGCTGCAATCTTATTGGCTAAAAATGTAAATGGCTATAACTCCCTTGTTTTTCAACCAAACAGGATGGGATTTAGAACATAGACAGACATAATAGACTCCTACAGGAATGTATAGTCCTCATGCACGTGCATGCACGTGCGTGCACGTGAAATGAATAAAATTAAAAATACGCTTAAATGAGTGTATTTCTTAATACTTCTGGATTAATTGATTTGATATTAAGTATATTAAAATATATAAATAGTGTAGACAAAACGATATGGTCATTACGCACATGCATTCAGATGAGCACGCGTGCAATGCTAAAATTTATTGCATAAAGTGTGCCTTATTTAATAGCGCTTGCAGCGAATATGGCACCAAAAGGGAGTTGGGGAGCGTTTGGGGAACATCTGTAACGGTCCCCGTTACAATTAGCCCTAGTTCATATTGTTTTAGCTTGAATCAGCAGTCATTGCAAAAGGAAATGTGGAGATATGGCTTGGAGATTTGCTGAAAGAACAAATGAAATCTCTTCATGGTGTGATACGTGATGCCTGGAGAAACATTATTACACCTGAATTTGAATTGATGGGCTTCATGGCAAATTTTCCTGCACAGGTAAATTGTTCTAGAAATGAGTAGATTTTAAGAGTTTTACACAGATTTAAGTAATTTTTGATATTTTTAAATGAGGACAAATATTTTGATTTTGTACATGGTTGTTTTTATCTTTTGTAAGCAAAATCCTTTATGTTCTGTTTTGAATGAGTTATTTTCCAGTGTTGTTGTGGTGTTTTAATTCCTAAAAAAATTAAGAATAAAAATGCAGTGAAAATAAGGAGTATACAGAAATTTAATGAATAAAAAAAAAATACAGATCTAAAGTATAATCATAATGCAGTCAAATACGTATACTGAAAGGAAAAAGAAACACATAATAGCGAAAAATATTTCACTATGTGGCTGAAAATTATGAAAATTGGTCAGATGTGTATTTTGGTTACTGTGCACTAAAATCGCTGGTCAAAATTACTCAACCATGAAATGTATGGTGTCATGTAAGGGAAGTGATAAAATGCCAAATACAGGTGCATGTTGATGATGACAATTTTGTGATCATATTTTGTAGTGCCAAGAGATGCATTAGAGTTATAGACATCGTTTTCCGATATTTGCAGTCAGTATAAATTTCTTGCAATCATGGTATGGCTGACGGAAGTTACATTGGGTCTAGTAATTGAGTTGCATAAGTGAATAAAAAGGCAACAACATGTTGCTGTGCAGTTTGTTTTTAACTTTTCAACCAAAAAAGTTTTTTCGGTTGTCAGAGAGTAACTTAAAAAGTTTCCAACCAACCATGAGGGTGACGTTGGCGCATAACAACGTCACATCAAGATAGGGCTTTTCATCATGCTACCTCGGTTATTGTCAAGTCATTATCACTGAAACTGATATTTTTGCAGCAGGCAATCCTACTCATATTTTCACCCAAATACTGACAGAAACTCTCTGCTCTAATTTGGTACGCAAGCTTGGCAACTTACTCTCACACGTGCACGTACGTGCCGTATGCGTATTGTTTTTAGCATGTTCACATTGGGAAAATGTAGCTAGTGTTTGTCGATACTTCCTTACAAACATTTACGTGTACCAAATCAGCTAGATTCTGTAAATTCTATCCTAAATCGAAAATTCATGGGATTCATTGGGCGGGGGGATTTGTTGGCTTTGGAATAATACAGCTACTCTCAACCATTAAGACTACCGTCGGAATTGAGGCTTGAATGATAATCCTATGAGAAAGATAAATGCTCTGGTGAACTCAGTGCACAAGAAAATCGAGGCTATTACTGATGCGCAAGGGAGATGATGAGAGTTTTTATTTTAATTTTTGGGGGTATCGACATGTCAATTTCAATAACTCAGGAATCATCAGTCAAAGTCACACAAGATTTCGGTTACTTGTTGTTTAAAGTTGAATTAAAATGTTTGATAACAATACTGGAAAACATATTGGAAATAAAAGTTTTAATTTTATTAAAAAATTTTATGCGTTTCTTTTTCCTTTCAGTATAATAATAATATTGCTAATTTGCATTGTTCTTACACTGCAGTCATGTAGAAATGTTTTATTGTGTATATTTTATCATATGCATAAAGAATTTAATGATCTTTTTATGATTATTTACATATTGATATGTCATACAGGTTGGACTGCTAGGGATTCAGATGATTTGGACAAAGGATGCTGAATTTGCTTTGCAGCATGCTAGAGGTGACAAAAAGATTATGCCAACCACAAATCAAAGGTTCCTTGATATGTTAAATCGCTTGATTGAACAAACTACACATGATTTGACCAAAGTGGAGAGAGTTAAATATGAAACTCTTGTTACCATCCATGTGCATCAGAGGGACATATTCGATGACCTGGTATTGCTTAAAACTTAGTAGAGAGACTTGAATTAACATTTATTTTCAAGAGTTATTCTTAAATTGCATTATACCATCTAAAGCTTTAAATGTGTACATTTCAGACAAGAATGCACATAAAATCCCCAACAGATTTTGAATGGTTGAAACAGGCTCGATTCTATTTCAAAGAAGATACAGATCAGTGCATTGTGCAAATAACAGATGTGGATTTCATCTATCAGAACGAGTTTTTAGGATGCACTGATAGACTTGTCATCACACCACTTACTGATAGGTATGTTATACCACTAAACCATACAACACTTACTGATAGGTACGTTATACCCCTAAACTACACACCACTTACTGATAGGTATGTTATACCACTAAACCACACACCACTTACTGATAAGTATAATACACCCCCTAAACCACACACCACTTACTGATAAGTATAATACACCCCCTAAACCACACACCACTTACTGATAGGTATGTCATACCACTAAACCACACACCACTTACTGTTAGGTATGTTATACCACCTTACCCAACCCCATTTTTCGACGAAATCCTGGCTTACGATTGGTTGAAGTCTGTCTTGAAGGAGGTGGATTACTAATATCCGGTCAGTTGTAAATCAATACCCGGTTGATGTATTACCTAACTAACATAACGTGACATCATAATAGCACAATATAGGCATGATGAAGCAGAGAAAAACATTTATAAACCACAGATAATACCTAAATGTTTCATCAGTGGGGTAAATTCATTACATACTGTTTTAGTGACAGGGTACGGCATGATACCTGGTTAGTAAATTTCAAACCTGACTTGGCTCTGCCTCGCCAGGTATGAAATTTACTAACCAGGTATCGTCCCATACCCAGTCACTAAAACACTATGTAACTAATAAAACCGCACACCACCTACTGATAGATCTATGTTTTACCCCTAAACCACACACCACTTACTGACAGGTATGTTATACCACTAAACCACATACCACTTACCGAAAGGTATGTTGTACCACTAAACCACACTCCACTTACTGATAGGTTTTTTATAACACTAAACCACACACCACTTACTGATGGGTATGTTATACCCCCTTAACCACACACCATTTGTTCATTGGGTTTGGCACATGGCCATAAATCTTGGGCTCACTTTAGATCTCAGTCTCACTTGTCTACTATTAATTCCTTGGTAAAAGTGAGACCGAGATCAAACAGAAGTACACATTTTTAGCAGAGATTTGTGATGATTACTACTTAATCAATATGCATATAATATTACAGATGTTACATTACACTTGCTCAAGCCTTGGGAATGTCCATGGGTGGGGCACCTGCTGGTCCAGCAGGAACTGGAAAAACAGAAACCACCAAAGACATGGGAAAAGCTCTTGGAAAATATGTGGTGGTATTCAACTGTTCAGATCAGATGGATTTCAGAGGACTGGGAAGAATATATAAAGGTAAATCTAGGAGGATTTTACACATGAAGTCTTACAATGAGTTGTTGGTATTGAAAAAAACATCACTAGTGGAAAAAAAGAAAAATTACATCAAAAAACATACTGGTAAGGATTTTACCATGTTGTATTTAAATGCATGGTATTAAGTTTATTAAACGTTGGAGAATTAGTTACACAATTATTTAAGTGACTGGAGTAATACAGGATGTGAAAAAGAAATATGTTTTCGGCCTCAGCTCTGCAATGTCCAATACACATTACATTTCTCGCCCTGGATAACTGCATATTAAGTTACTATATACAAGTCAAAACACAACGTTTCCTTTTAGGTTTAGCACAGTCTGGATCCTGGGGATGCTTTGACGAGTTTAACAGAATTGAATTGCCTGTATTATCTGTAGCTGCTCAACAGATCTACATTGTTCTCAATGCCAAGAAAGACAGGAAAAAGGAGTTCATATTCACTGATGGTGATGTAGTGGAACTCAATCAAGAATTTGGAATTTTCCTTACAATGGTCAGTTCATATATATATAGCGATTTAAAATAACTATGCAAAAAAAATACTTGTATGTTTTATGCAATAAAGTACATTGTTACAGAATCCAGGATATGCAGGACGTCAAGAATTGCCAGAAAACTTGAAAGTTCAGTTCCGCACAGTAGCTATGATGGTTCCAGACCGTCAGATTATCATGAGGGTTAAACTGGCTAGTTGTGGATTTTTGGAAAATGTTCTTTTGGCACAGAAATTCTATACTCTCTACAAATTATGTGAAGAACAGTTATCAAAGCAAGTGAGTGCATAATTTATTGAGGCATTTTGAAAGAACAGTTTAGTAAATAAGTACATGTGTTATCAGCTGTTACTTTCGGGAACATTGTTGAATAGTATCAAATGCTGGATCTAACTTATAATTTCACTTGTTTTCAAAAAAAATTTGTAGTACAGCTAGGTCTTTTCTAACATTGCACGAACTTGGCACAGCGTACAAGAAAGTTGTAGGAATACTTGCATTATACAATCATTCTTGCCCAGACGCCTCAACTAATACTTGAAAGAGGATGGGAGCCCTAGTAAAGTTGTTTTAAATCTTACAGTTAAGGCCAAAAAAAATTAAATACTTGGTTCTCAGGCCAGTTTTGTCAAAAATAAATGAGGGAGGGAGGCTTTTTTTTTTTTTTTTTTACCCAATAAAAAAAAGACGAGGGATTTTTTATTTTTTTTTTTATTTTCAAAACTCGAACTTTTAAACAACAGTGCTTCAATATGTGCATTGAACATAGAAATTGAAAACATTTACTTTCTACTTTTCTTTTGTTTCTCTCTAGCATTTTCTACATTTTTTCTCTTGAATGGCGAAATATGGTTTGCTCTACAGCTTTCACAAGTGGGATATGTCCCTTCAATTTGCTCAACTGCTTCATTTGAGCAGTAAAAGCAAATGGAAGGGAATATGCCAGCACTAAAATACGGAATTTCAACTGGACTTGTGCAGTGTAGATTAGCTCTGACAAATATACGATCAAGAAGGGCAGATATCTTTGGAGCCCTTTCTCTCTCTTGTGGCATGAGCTCTTGAAGCTCACATCCACAGGAATATTGATAAAGATCCAAAACACGTTTCAGAATCATGTGATCTTGCGTTGTAAGTTTGTGAGTAGAATAAATGACTCTTGGTTTATCACATGCTATACACTTCACAGTTTTGCCAACAGTTCTTGCAGTTTGAGCAGAAGGAGCAAAGGGTATGCCATGACTGTTTGCAGCAAGCTCTGGCACTTTTTGCTGTAGTGAAGGACGATACTCTTCTGTGGTATCTGTACCATAGACTTCTTCAAACTCTTTATAATGTCCATCCTCTCCTGTGAAATACATGGTAAAATTGACACTTTTTCACATCAAATACTTTCATAAATTAAATACATTCAATTTTTTATACTGAAAATCTACTAAATAGAGATAACTATTACCTGGAACTGGATCTGGAAATGCATGTAGCTGGGAAAAGACATCAGGAGGCAGGCGAGGTGGAAGGCATATCTGACATTCTGGATTCCCACACTTACGAATAGTAAAGAAATATGACCTGGACACTGTACAGTGGTCCAAAAAATCCTGAAGCTTGGGCCTGTCAAGGAAGAAAATGAATTATTTTTGTTTCAAATAAGATTTTTATTATAGTGTTTTTACGCTTTGTAAATCAATTCTGTTATTACCAGACTTCTGTCCAAAATGGTTTTTAATTTTTTAAAACAAAACACTTAAATTTGATAGGTAGGTATGATGTAGGTTTACAGTATATATGGTACAAAGAATATACAGGATTTAAAATTGAGTTAGAGAGCATTTAGAGAGACTAGGAGAGCTTGTTAGGTTTATTAACACATATACATGCACCTGTTTTTAGGACCTTGAAGTTACTATAGTACATCCATAGCAAAAAGAATATCCCCAACTTATTAAATAGGTTAAAAGCTGTGCATATCAATAGTTTCTACCAAGCCATGCAGAAAAAAAATACTCACCAGCTGCTTTCTGTAGATGTATTGCAATATTTATGTATTACTCTAATCATGTAACATAATAAATATATACATGTATTCTATTTAGAGCTTCCACTAAATCTAGTACATCTCTAAACATGCTATAAAAATGTCATGCATTCAAGTATATGAATGTATTCATTTAGAAATCCCTAAATAAAAGCTGAGTACTTTTTGCCGAACATCATACACTCTAAAATCAAACTTTCAACATCATTTTCTTTTTCAAAACGTTACTATAAATATAAACACATTTTCTATTATTTGTTTGAACATTCATATTTGATTTCATCCAATAGTCTGTCAGATCACATCTATCTGGTATGATTTAAAAAGTCATACTGATTGTGTGTAATAATATTAAACTCATTTAATAATACCTGTCTTTAAGTTCTTTTTTCAGGCTTGGTTGTTTCATATCATGTCCTAAGGGAGGACCAAACTTTTGCAGCTGTTCCCAAAGGGCTTCAATTGCTTCCTCTGTAGCAGCTTGGAAACATTTGAACTTCTTGTCCTTCAAATAAAGTCTCCTGAACATCTGAGTAAGAAGGACCTAATAAGGATAGAATTTGATGTAAATGTGATAATCATATATACCCTTTCTGTACATCTACTAATGTAGAAACTGGAATTTCTTTCATTAAAAGTGAATGTACATGATCTACATATTTACCTTTACTGGCTCAATAGAGTCTTTCATTTCCTGCCGCATTGCTGGATCCTTTGCCACTTCCCTGAGCTGTCCTAATCCATTGGCTGAACGTAGCTTTTTTTCACACTCATCTGAAGCCTGTGATCTCATTAAACCGACAGCCTGAAGTGCTAGATTCAAGATTGACATAATGCGCTCAGGTGGGTTTCTCCATGATCCCATGGGTGGAGTCCTTGCTGCTATCAACATATCAAAGTCTCCGCTCAAAAAAAGACAAACCAGTGATAGCTGTACTGACAAATAGGTGAGTCGATGATCTGGACCACCATCTGTATAAAGACACAATATAGGCTTAGAATGCAATTCCTCATCCAAAAGAATCTGCTTTAGCTCAGCAATGTGCTGCAGTGGTGAAGAAGGCTCAAGGACCAAATCTTTTACACCAACATAAACCTGCCCTCTGTAGAAGGATCCCTCTTCAAGAGATTAAGGTATATCTACCAACATGGTAACACTTGGTACCACGCTAAATTTTGTGAAGTCATGGTCAGATACTGCAAATACTTTGTCCTCAGCTACTACTACACGTTTCCCTCTCTCCACAGCAGCCACAGGATTCCCTGGTTCACCAACCTTGCAATGATGTTTATCGTCCATACAAACAAATACGGTAAAGTCACGAAACTTGATACAAAATTCTTTCAGATACCTGAATGTGGCCGATGCATAATGTGTATCTTCATGAGTTTCATGCAACTGTCTACTCTGTACTTGAAATTTCACTTTCAGTTAGCCAGTAAACTGTAAAGAAGCATAAGCTGATGCACATTTGGGTGCAAATTGCAGTCTGAGTCATTGTTCTGAAGGTATAGCAGTTTCTGGTGGACAAGTCTCCTTTACACAATGCAAGAGGTCTGGAACGGATATTGCTTGTGCCAAGTGGGTTATCTCATCATGACGTCTCTCATCTACTGCTGTCTCGATAACGTTTTCAAGATACTGTTTTGCTTTCTCAAAAAAGGAATCATACTTCGATGGTTGGCCTTTATTGTGACATCTCAGATCAGTAATAATATCTGGATCCTCCATTTCGAAGGCTTGGTATACACGTGCATCTATCTCTTTCTGATCAGCTGTTTCAGCTTCTGCAGAATCACCAGAAAGTTGCCTGTAAATGAAGCGTGCCTCTTTTGCTTTTAAACTACAAATGAGAGATGCTTTCCGAATAAAGCTTCTACGCATAGCTCTGGTGTGGTAATTTGGTAATTCTTGTTTCAAAGACTGTATGACTTCTGTATTTTTGGCAACAGTATCCGCTTCTACAACATTGGGAGGAATTCGCCAAATGAAATTATGTGACCCAAGGTTATTACCGGTAGAAAATGTCAGATGCATACACTTGTATGGTAATCCAGATTTGAGATAGTCTAAGTAATAACGTCTCTGTCTGGTGGATTCTGGTGTATATTCATCTACAAAAACTGGCTTGTATTCTTCTGTATTTCTAAGACGATCTACTAATGCCTTGTACCTTGAAACAATACCAGGTTTCACAATATATTTTGGATATATAAGTTCAATACTCTGTCCTTCATCTGGGCTGCGCACAGGAAACATTTTTGTTCTGTTTTCCTCCATCCTTTTGGCTGCTTTTACCAAGTAATCTGAATAATTGTGGAGACTTTCAGACAGTTGAGTCAAGGCATTTTTGAATGAAAACCACATTGGTCCACTCATATATGGCTGTTCAATACATTTATCAAGGCATGAAGCAAGATGAAGAACAGAAGAATTTTCTAATGGAGTTTTCTTGTGTTTATGATTCTCAGGATTGTTGTACCCTATGAGATGTTCAAACAGAAAAGGAACATAAAAACTTCTTTCTCTCAAAGTATCAATATGTGGGTCAATGGTCCAGAAGCAGCTTGTTATGGTATGAATCAGTGTTTTGCCTTGGTCTAAATTGATTGGTGTAAACCCTAATCCTGCCCTTTGCAGCATTTCTAAAACTCTGTTGTATAACACTCTCTTGTTGTTAAGGATACCTCCATCTGCTGCATATGGTTCTGGTAAAGACAGTTTTCGAGCACCAGATAGCAGAACTTCAAATGCATTCTTTTTGGCCTTACCTGTAAATAAGGATTTTTTAAAACTTTATATTTATATGGCATTATGATTAATATTAGTTCTACAGAGAATGTATGCATAACTTTCGTTATTAAAATCAGTTATTTTCTTATGATGCAAATATTTCAATGAATCTTTATTACTGATGCTGTATAATTTTATATTTTAATTTTTCTAAAATTACGAAAACTTTTTTATGCCTCCTTTTAATTTCAAGAATTCATCACATAAAATCAGGAAAATACCCAACAACATTGATGTGAAAATATGCCCAGAATATCGTGATATTAAGCATAAATATGTTTTTTTTTTTATAATACTAACTAAATACATAGTACGTACCAGATTCAGGGCCAGAATCCTCCGTCCCCGATTCCGAAGGCATTTCACATGCGGTGCTTTTCTTTTGGTCTTTATCTTCTACAAGGTTGAATCTCACATAATGACCAAACAACGACACTGTTTGGACAACATTCATATTTGCCATCACATTGTCAAACGCGTCAGTCTTTGATTTTCCCACAGAAACTGTTATAGGCAAATCTCGAAGTTTTTCCGGGAAAACCCAAGTCCCGAGGTTAATGGAGCCATTCTTTATGGATTGATAAAGTTCTAACATAGTACATCCCTCGGAAAACCCACCAACTATATGCCAGGGAAGCAAAACAGTTGATCCCTTCCGAATTTGGGCCGAAATTAATGCCATTGTATTCAAACATTCACTGACGATTCAGTCAACCTTTTAATCCGACCGCCATTTGCATTTGCCATGCTCTGTATTACTCGGAGCTCCTCGGGTCGCACACTTCCTTACCTTACAAATGGAGCGTAATGGAGTCAGCCGAGGATTACCGATTGAGTCTTGGCGATTCTAAAATGCGGTCGGGGAATTCCGGATTTTTTTTTTTCAGTCTATCAGCGCACGAGAGAAATTTTATTTTATTCATTTGAGGATAAAAATGGGTAATGCGCATTGTTAAAAGACATGCGGGGCGGGCCTGAGAACCAAGTTATTAATTTTTTTAGGCCTAATAAAAATTTCATATAAAAAGTTTTGTGAAAAAGAACAAAATCAAGTTTTATCTTATAGTGAAAAAGTTGCAGGAAATTATAAGCCTTACCTAATTTATCTTCGAAAAATAATGGATTAGGTTATGCATTCTTACTATATTTACTAGAATTGCTTCATGTGATTAATCCACAGGCACCTGATGAAATAAGAACTCTCCTTTTTTTTCTGACTGAGATTCTGATGCGGAACATTTTTATTAATTCTTCCATTCTCCTGCTGCAATTTAAATCAATATTGATTTAAGAAAAGCAAATTTTAAATGGCTTTAGTCTTTAAAATGAATGATAATTATTTTCTTGTGCACTTAAAGGTTCACTATGACTTTGGATTGAGGAATATTTTGTCTGTACTGAGGACTTTAGGAGCCAACAAGAGAGCTAGACCAAATGACACAGAAAATACAATTGTGATGAGAGTTTTAAGAGACATGAATTTATCCAAATTGGTAATTTTCTTAAAGCTATTTTTTTCTTAATCACAAATATAATGATCATAGCATTACGCAAATGTGTGTGTGTGTGGGGGGGGGGGGGGGGGGGGGGGGGTAGCACTGATTGAGAGAGACTAATGCCATGGCAAGGGCATGATAAAAATATCTTTGTTTTATGTTGATTCTTTATTCCTTCAATAAGGTATCCTTAAGTGCAACCTTAAAAAAATCAAAATTCTAAAGCTGTATGATTCAATCTCTATAGGTAGATGAGGATGAGCCATTGTTCATGAGCTTGATAGCAGATCTGTTTCCAGGAATAGTGCTAGACAGTGCAACATATGCAGAGTTGCAAGTGGCTATTGCTAAACAAGTAGATGATGCTGTGCTCATAAATCATCCATCATGGAATCTCAAACTTGTACAAGTGAGTAGTGTTCATTTGGCTTATGGACCAATCTTGTAACTTAAATTTCTTATATTCCTATAATAAATATGGTGAAATTTTCTACATAGCTTAGATTTTTTTATTTTAACAAATTCTTTGTAACTGATTTACTCTATGTGGAGTTAATATGCATATGATGAATGTTGTTGAAAAGGAGGACATTAGATTCTTCATGCATTGAATCCAAAATGTTAGCTACCAAGAATTTCTTGTGCTCTACAGGTTGCCTATCATTTCTTTTAGCTCACCTATGCTAAATTAGATTTTTTTATTGCATGTTGTCTGACAACTATCAGATACTATCTTGATAAATATGCATACATAATTCTTGCACATTAAGAATTTCCAATAACTCTAGTAAAGTATGATGAGATTAACTAGTCATTAAAAATCTTAATAGAAAGTTTAACTTTTCTTTTGCCACTGGTATAATAACTTGACAGGCACACAAATTATGGTAGTGATCGATTCAGGCACATTGTTTCAAATGTGTCATTAATTTTATAGCTCTATGAAACACAAAGAGTAAGGCATGGAATGATGACACTGGGACCAAGTGGAGCAGGCAAGACTTGCTGCATCCACGTCTTGATGAAAGCAATGACTGATTGCGGGGCTCCTCATAGGGAAATGAGGATGAATCCAAAAGCTATAACAGCACCACAGATGTTTGGTAGACTGGATGTAGCAACAAATGATTGGACAGATGGCATCTTTTCTACCTTGTGGAGGAGAACACTGAAAGCAAAGAAAGGTTAGCTGAAATAATCTCACTTATTCAATCACTGTCCCATGAGTGGAATTTTCAAAATTCATTATTTTTTGAAAGTACCCAGTACTTGAAAAAAGTAAGGAGTGCTGAAAAAGTCACAATTTAACGCTCTAATTAATGATTTATTTTGAAGGAAAGTAAAATTAATTTTATTTCTTTTTTTAGGAGAAAACATATGGATTGTTCTTGATGGCCCTGTTGATGCAATTTGGATTGAGAATTTGAATTCTGTTCTTGATGACAATAAGACTCTCACACTGGCCAACGGTGACCGCATCCCAATGTCCCCAGCCTGTAAGGTAGTATTTGAGGTCCACAACATTGACAATGCTTCACCAGCTACTGTATCTAGAAATGGTATGGTGTACATGAGTTCATCAGCACTGGATTGGAGACCAATATTACAGGTACACACAAGTAAAGTACTGTTCTAATTATACCCCTGCTCCAAAGGATAATAAAGAAATAACATAGTCTGGGGTTTTTTTTTTTTTATCATACTGAAATTATATCTTAATAATACATGAAAAGTGTGTGTATTCAATTGCATCATCAACATTTACTGTTAAAAAACGAGAATAGCTATGTAATGATTAAATATAAAAGCTCATTCCAAAAAAATAAAAAGCAAGATTTAATTTTATAAGTCCAATAAAGTTTAAAATTATCCAATTTTGTTTATTGAAGGGTTGGCTGTTAAAGAGAAATTCCCAGGAAAGTGAGCTTTTGCTGACTCTTTTTGACAAAATATTTGATGATTTGTACACCTATGTCAATACGAACTTGTTACCCAAAATGGAGACACTGCAATGCAACCAAATTATGCAGGTAAATTTTAAATTAATTTTAATAATTTTAACAGCTACTGAATTGAAGAATTGAAATAGATAAAAATTGTTTAGCTTTGCGATTGCATACCATCCTTAAAATTGGATGTTATTATTTTAAGGCTTGCAATGTACTTGAGGGTTTGATCCCCAAGAAAGATGACAAAGGAACACTTCCTGCATTCCATCTAGAAAAACTTTTCATATTCTCTCTGATGTGGAGTTTGGGTGCATTGCTGGAGTTGGATGATCGTGCCAAAATGGAAGAATTTATGGCTAAACATGAGAGTGCATTGGAATTACCTTCTGTGAAAGAGGGAGAGACCATCTTTGAATATGTTGTTGATGATCATGGTATTAAAATCAAGTCACTCAATCAGTTCCATCTACTTTTGGAATTGACAGTTTTTCAAGCACTAGTACTTGCCCCTCAACTTGGGATACAAATACATGTATTGCTTTTCAAAATTTTTATTTTTAGGTATTCAGAAAACTTCTTATTTTTTTCTTACAGGTGAATGGGAACACTGGTCTAAGAGAGTAGAAGAATACATTTACCCTTCAGATGTAGTTCCTGAATTTTCATCCATTTTAGTACCAAATGTGGACAATGTGCGAACAAGCTTCTTGATAGATGTCATTGCAAAACAGAACAAAGTGAGTGTTTTCTAAAAAAAGGAAGGTCATGAATTATGATAGAAGTTCCTACCAATACCTGCTGAAATAAAACCTTTTTTTCAATAGTTGTTCATTTTAATTTATCAGTGTATTTATTTTACTAGGCAGTACTTTTAATCGGAGAACAAGGAACAGCAAAGACTGTGATGATCAAAGGTTACATGGCACAGTATGACCCTGACAGTCATCTGAGCAAAAGTTTCAACTTCTCCTCTGCTTCCACTCCATCCATGTTTCAGGTTATTATAGCAATGATCACACTGACAAGTAAGAGTAAAAACTGTGTATTTTGTAAGTTTAACATTGCATATTTACAGAGGACCATAGAGAGCTATGTTGACAAGAGAATGGGAAGTACTTATGGACCACCAGGAGGAAGGAGAATGACTGTTTTCATTGACGACATCAACATGCCGGTCATCAATGAGTGGGGCGACCAGGTTAAACATCCGTTGTCATGCATGGTTTTATTACTGCATGTTGTAATAAAGTTTTAAAATTTATGCCTATTGATTATAGATTACAAATGAAATCACTCGTCAAATGATGGAGATGCATGGCATGTACAGCTTGGACAAGCCTGGTGATTACATATCTATAGTGGACATGCAATTCATTGCTGCTATGATACACCCAGGAGGAGGAAGAAATGATATCCCTCAGAGATTGAAAAGACAGTTCTCCATATTCAACTGCACTCTGCCATCGAATAACTCCATTGACAAAATCTTTGGTAGGTTGTGGTTGATTGTTGGGGCACACTTTCTGGAAAAGGATTTTAATTTTAGCAGATCTCTTCTTCCTTTTTTGATATGTGAAGTATGTGTGTGGTTCACACAAGTCTCTGAAATTTGATTCTTATCTTTGAAAGTCATTGGAAATAGAACAGAGCTAGAGAACATTGATTTCTAAGGCCTTGTATTGAAAAATACATGTAAATGATTGATTTCTTTAGCCAAAAAAAATGCAAGCTTAAAAATTAAAGTTTTGTTGAAATAAGGATCCTATGTCTGTGGTAAGTCAAATTAAAACACTTGCAGAGCTATAACATCTTATAAGAATATATAATATTGTTTTGCAGGCATCATTGGGTGTGGATATTTTTGTTCTAGTCGCTTTAATCCAGAAGTTTGTGATATTGTGAAAAAGATTGTTCCAGCCACCAGAATTCTCTGGCAAATGACAAAGGTGATTATTTTTCAGTTTTAAATTTGATGTGATTTATGTTATATTCCTGCTTTTCATTTTTTAGCTCACTTGGCTATTTTTCACACTTCATTGTTCATATTTCCTCTTTTCATATTATGCATCTTCTTCACACTTTGTTTGAATGTACCCATATTAAATATATATAATTGCAAATATGCAATTTACTGGTTTATAAAGTTTGGTATGGTTGACCTTTCCTGCATAGAAACAATACAAAGTTTCAAACTCTTACATAAATCTCCAAGAAATTCATGAAATGTACATGTATAGTTTAAGTTTGTTTAAAGTCTTAAGCCCAGGATATACAAGAAATCTGCATAACTTTTTATCCATATGTCTTTCTTTTTAACAATTTTCATTAAGTACAAATAAAAATTCTGATTCTGTGGAATTAGGAACCTGTAGAAATAAGAATATGTTCACATTGTTTCATGAAAGTAATGAAACTTTGAACACGTTTCATTTGGAAACGATTTTGATACTTATTTGAACTGTTTGATAGGTAAAAATGTTGCCTACACCAGCCAAGTTTCATTACATTTTCAACTTGCGAGATCTGTCTAGAATTTGGGAGGGAATGCTGAAAATCAAAGGAGAGGAATGTGAGGACCAATTGATGGTGTTAGGACTCTTCAAACATGAATGTACAAGAGTCATCTCAGACAGGTATTGGTGTAATGTGTAGATGTAAGTCCATCAAAATAGAAAATATATGTTAGAGCCAGATTATCTATAACAGCATCAATTTTTGTTTGTAATTTGGACAATAATCTTTAGATTCATAAATTAATAATACATGTAGTTGTAAAAGGAAAAGTCTTTTGAAGGACACGTGCAAAAAAAAAGGTTGGTATATAATTTTTGGACTTGTTATGTTATATAAGAACATCATTAGAATCCCTAAATAAAGAATAAAATTTTATACAAATAAACTTGCTCATTTTACTTTATATAAACATATATTTAGTTGATATTCTCCGATTTAGGGGGGGGGATGTTTTTATTTTATTTTTGTTTAAAGTAAAGTGTAGTGTTGTTACGATAGTCGCCGACTATTGAAAAATCGTCATTTAAAGGCCCAGATCGGCGACAATCGATTGTAAATATTATCATCGATAGATCGCTTTATTTTTCAAGCCGTATTTTTCAAGCCGATCATGTTTTACTTCCATATTCACCAAAGGGACGTCACTCTAATTGGCGGTAAACAATATGGCGAACGTGCATGGTGAAGAGGTTGACGCCTAATTATATCCATATCCTGGTACAACACGATCTAAAGTTTGGAGTTTTTTGGCTTTCGGAAAAAGGGCCATGGGCCTCCATGCAAAAATAATTTACAGATGGACACGGTTATTTGTAAATTGTGTAAAAAGTCGTATGCCAGTAAAAATAAGTTAAAGTTCGCGGTCACATGTCATGGAATTCTACTCGTGCTGAATGAATAAATTTAACCTTTTTTAATAGTTCAAATTATCGATTATATAATCGATTGTGTTCTTCCAATTCAATTTGATAATCGATAGTAAAATTTGTCCGATTTTACAACACTAGTAAAGTGTGAGTTTTTCAGTGGATGTTAAGTTTCATCTACATGTATTTCAGATTTACAAATCCTGATGACAAAGCCTGGTTTGAGAAGAGTTTGAATGTTGTCATTAATGATCACATTGATGCATCACTTGTTGACACGTGTCATCCAGAACCATACTTTGTGGATTTTCTTCGTGATGCTCCAGAACCCACAGGAGAAGAAAGTGATGATGCTGCACTAGAAGCTCCCAAAATATATGAACGGGTAACAGTATATGCTTGACCTCACCATAACTATGAGTGGTACAATATAGGTGGTATTTGTTTCCTATTTTATTGACATTTCTTTTTTCCTTTTTTTCCTCATAGATCTCCTCTTATGAGACATTGAATGACAAACTGCTGACTTACATGGAACAGTACAACGAGTTAGTCAGGGGGGCTCATATGGATCTTGTCTTCTTCAAGGATGCCATGGTGCATCTTATCAAGGTTAGTGATCTCTCTTAAATTTTGTTTAAAAGCAACCATTTATACATAAAATAAAGCAAGGGTTTAAAAGTTCAGTTGGTTTTTATATCTTTCTTGAGTAATACAGATAAAACCAACTAATACATTAAAACCTGTGTACACTTCCACAATTAATGGCATTTTGACATTCTTGGACCTATGCTTTTCATCCCAAAATTTAAAAACAGCTACTAAGTATTGTCAATGAGGAAGCTAATCCTTGGAGCACAAAAAACAAGCATGCCAAGGGCCAATCTCCATGGGCATGATCACATTAAGCACTATGAGCTAATCCCAGGAGTGCATAATGCTTTGGGCTGATCTCAGCAGGTCATAAGACAAACCTTAGGGCTGATCCAAGGAAGAAAATGCCTAGAGGGATGATTCCTAAAAGCACAGACATACAAAAAACTTGGCTAATCCCAGGAGTGCACAATAATACTTTGGACCGATCCAAGCAGGGTTCAGAGACTGAGTACCTTTGAGAATCCCTTTTATTTGTTGGCATTTAGCAAGCAGACTGTTCCCTTCACCAAAATTTTCAAATGTGTCTCGGACTGTCTCCCCATAACTAAAGTTGATTTCCTAGTTTGAACCTTCAGTTTCCATTAACCTGGCAGGTCCAGTTTGGCAGTGGTTCTAAAAAAAAAAGTTAAGTAAGGAATTTCATTCCATGTATTTGTTTTAATTTGAAGATTTATTTTTGATAACAGATATCCAGAATTATTGGTACCCCACGAGGAAATGCTCTGCTGGTGGGAGTTGGAGGATCAGGAAAACAATCACTAACTCGTCTAGCCTCCTTCATCGCAGGCTACAGAATATTCCAGATTACACTCTCAAGGTTAGCAATAAACCAAGTGTAACTTCAGTTACTTCACCAGTAATTACAAATCTGTAAAGATGCTCCCAGGTACCTCTCATACAGGGTACCAAAGCTTCATTTAATATAATGTTATAATGGCACTGTTAATATGAAAAACTAATGTCTCTTGAAACAAAGAAAATAAGCAACAATCAAATACTCTTGATTTAACTGAAAAATATTGTTGACATGCAAGTAATGCACAATGAAACTTAATCAACAGGACATACAATGTTGGCAATTTGATGGATGATTTGAAGTTTATGTATCGTGTTGCTGGATGTGAAGGGAAAGGAATCACATTTATTTTTACCGACAATGAAATCAAAGATGAAGCATTCCTTGAATACTTGAACAATGTTCTGAGTTCAGGAGAGGTAAGTTATACTAGTATCAGATGGTCCCCAATTCGAGACAGTTCCATTGTAAAGTGCATGTTGTTCTATGATGTAACTTTTTGGGAGTATATTTCATTCTCACTTTAATCAGAATATACTTCAGTGACCTTTGGTCAAGGTCACATTCATATATTGTTTGATATGAATCTTTACTTTCTGATGGAATTGCTAAAAGTTCTGTATTTTTGCAATGACCTATGCTTTTGAGGTAAAAAAAAATAATAATTACAGATCTAGACCAACATAAAAAAAGTATTCCATGAAGTGATTATCAGATGGCAACTTATTTCTTTTTGAGCTTTTGCAATGAAGCTTAAGATGATGATTAATTCATTATATCATACATGTTAACTCTACCGATTTAGGCGGGAGTCTACCGCTTTTTCACTCAATCTCCCGCCTACCGATTTTATTCCTAAATCTACCGCTTTTCTATAAAAGTTTTGTCTAAAGTATTTTGGGTTCGCTTGGGTATCCATTTTTGAAGCCACTCGTCTGAAAATCTCGTAAGATATCGCGTGATTTGACCCAGAAGCATACAAACGCTTTTTTTGTACCGATGTGTACATAGATTTTAAGCACATATTTGATAACGACTACAGTACAAAACTCGGTGATTACATTGGTTACGATACATTTTCTCGACATTACTGCCATGAAAAAGAAGATACAGCATTTTAGAATTGGATGAAAATGTTTCACACCGTCTATGAAAGCACAGAAGCTCACAGTTTTATCAATAAAGTCAATAGAAATCACTCGATTGACCAAGTCATGAGGCACATCTCTACTTTCGTTTTCGATCATCGCGGGAAATCTGATATCTTGAACGAAAGATAGGAACTAGTTTTACATCTATATTAAACTATGTCATCATTTGTTGTGTTTGATAACTGAATAAACATTCAGAATTATTGCTTCTAGGCTATATCAGCAAAGATCACTCTTCAAAAGGTTAAGTTAAGCAGCCAGTCAAAGCAAAATGATGAACATGAAAAATATTTGAATTTGTGTTAGTTATCTCAAACTTAGGTCTTTCTGTCTACTTCTTGCAGTTGATATTTAAGATTAATTCTTGTAGTTTTCATTTAAGTCCAAACATATATATTACATGAAATGTATCTTCATAAATCCAAGCGTAAAACAACGCGCGCAATGCTACCGCTTTTGAGGTCTGAATCTCCCTATTTTTCATAACAACAGGTTAACATGTATGATTATATCAAAGATTAGTTTCTAGATTTCAATTTGCTAAAATTTGTCTCTGGATAACACCTTTAATGAAATTTAATCTATATATCCACTAAATTAGCTTGTGTTTGCTATTGTTTGACAGATACATATTAGGTAAAACAAAGCACTTATTTACTGGATTCTCAGACAGAATGTATTTTGCTGAAACCTCTTGCCAAACTGTTACTTCACTTTTAAGCAGTTCTTGAGACTTACAGAACACATGTTGCCCTCGAACTGAATAAATGTACATTGTAAGCTTAATGATTTGATTGAAACCGATAAAAAAAAATGTTTAAAGTTAAATCAATTATTTGCAGGTTTCTAATTTGTTTGCCAAAGATGAACTGGATGAAATTACACAGGAATTGATTGCAGTAATGAAGAAAGAAATGCCAAGATGTCCTCCCACATTTGAAAACTTGTATGATTATTTCATCTCCAGGGCAAGAAAAAATCTGCATACAGTCTTGTGCTTCTCTCCGGTGAGTCTTTTTCTTAATCAGTTGATTGAATATGTGTTTTTAAACAACAGAAGGATCATTTTAAGTTTCTCTGTGCGGCACACCTCTTTCTTTGAACTTTAGGAATTTTGTTCTTCTCAATTTTCACTAAGCCAGCCAAATTTAACCGAAATAGCACAATGCACCCTTCAGTCAAGGGGACACAAATCATTTAAATAAGGGCCAAATCAGATTCCAGACTGAGATAATAAATTCACAATCAATGTCTCATTGAATAAAAATATCTTTCATACAGGTTGGAGAAAAGTTCCGAACAAGGGCATTAAAATTCCCTGGACTTATATCTGGTTGCACCATGGATTGGTTCAGTCGATGGCCAAAAGATGCTTTGATTGCTGTATCTGGACATTTTCTTAACAATTACCATATTGTCTGCAGCAACGAAATTAAGGAACAGGTTGTCAACACAATGGGAGTGGTCCATGATAATGTAGCTTCTGTTTGTGTTGAATATTTTCAAAGGTGAGTGATATTCATGAATGCTACAAATATGCAACTGCATTTCAAGTCATTGTAGCAAGGTCACTGGCAGAAAAAAAATGTTTTAAAAAAGATAGTGTCCGAAAAGTTTGCTAAATGTGACAAAAATTTATTTGAAACTATTGAGCTCATAAGTAAAAGAGAGAATAAAATAAATTTTTGACCAAAGGAAATTAATTTAAAGCTCACTAAATTTATGTAGGAGCAGATTAGTTTCATTGTTTTTACTAATCTACTCCCTTACAGAAATCTCGAATAGGAACCTTTATTAATGTTTTTAATAGGTCTTACTGCAAGGGAGAGTGTATTCTTTTTTATTAGCTCACCTGAGCTGAAGGGTGCAAAACACAGTTTTAAGTATGACGTTATTGTGACTTTATCAAGTGAGGGACAAGCAAAAGTGACCCCTATAAAAAAACAATATGAAGCCTTATTACATAGACATCTATATATCAATGGAAAGATAAAATTATGAATTTTTTTAATATCAAGGAATAATCCATTCATCACTTACTACAAACATGTATTTGAGGCACAAAATACAAGGAAAAGGGGCATTTATGTGTCCGAAAGGAGTACGCATATGCATTTTTACCCCCCTTGAGTAACAAACAGCGAAAAAATCAGAAAATATCAGTTTTATGCATTTGACAGAACAAGTCCTTAGCTTTCTTTTTGATGTACTTTCAGGGTACATTTTCCAGCTTTTAAAAGAGCTACTTTACCTGCTAATCCACTTATGTAATTCTGCACGTGTGAAAACCGGATGTTTTGAGAGTTACCTCCCACTATTAAAATGTCACAAAAAAAATAATTTTAAAAAAATATATGCATATTTCTTTCATTTTATTGTAAGATAAGACTCTACCTTATGCAAGCAAAAACAAAAAAAGATGCAATGTTTATGTACAATTTCTATAAATAGCAAGCAAACCCCTACCCAGCATGCTTCTCTCTGGGAAAACCCCTCTGGATTTTATATGAAACTGTGTCTAGCTACCTTAAAGGAAATAAAACATTTTTGTAATTGCTTTTTTTAAATTTAGATACAAAGAGGACAAAATTACAAAAAGTTTGGTGTATAAAAAGTTGAATTTGGTCAAGAAATAGCCAAGATATTGTCAATTTAGTACGACATGTTTATGACATTGTACGACTTCTTAAACAGGACTGGGCGGATAAATTTCAAAACTGACTATTGACTTCCAAGTTCTACTTCATTTCATATAATGAACACCAATGAGCAAGCTCAGCTTTTGAATATTAATAGCATGTTAGAATATGAATGGAAGAAATCTAAAAACAAGTGAAATTTTCTATATTTTACCCAAATATCTAGATGTAATTTCAACAATCAGGAATAAATTTAATGTGAAACAGGCACAGTAGTGTTAAACTGACAGATTGACCCAAAAGTCTGGACAATGTAAAAAATACTCATTAATTTATGTCATATAAAAATATTGAATATATGTCTTAATAGAAACCAATATCTATATGCATGTATTCTCAATCAACCATGAATAAGTGTCTTCAAGGTCATGACCTCATGAAGCTGACATCACACTTTGACGTCATAATCACACTTTGACGTCATAATGCAAATGCATCATAATGTAAAATAACACATCACAATTACCTTTGTGGTGTCATAATATGGCATATCACAGTCTTATCTATCATACATGTATCTATGCATACCATGAACATGTGACCACTGTGTAATAATTTCATGATTTAAACAATAACATGCCTCCAGCTGAAAGGCGCAAGCCAGGAAGGAAAACGAAGAGTAACACATTCAGAAAAGGACACCAACCGTGGAACAAGGAGAAGAAGTTGTCTCTCAGCAATGACGTCTGCAACACAGCGCTCACTAGTGTCACTCGTCCAGATATGACCGTTTACAAAGCCACGTCAAAGAGCTACGATGGGCCTCCTAACACTGTTCCCTGGAAGTTGAGACCTAAAAAGCAAATTACAGATTTAAAGGAAACATGTGAAGATTCATCAGAGAATATCATTGTTAACTTTACAAAATTACAAGATTGTATTAAATTATGCATGCGCCACAACTGTAAAAGGCCGGATAGTGTGAACACGTCGATTGTTCACAGAAAGGGAATGTGTATATCACTTCAAACTAAATGTAATAGATGTTCATTTGATACCAAACCATGCAAGTTATACACAGAATGTATAAAACAAAACAGGGGTCCAGCAGCTGGATGTTTAAATGAGGGACTATCTATGGCCACTCTGAAATCAAAAATGGGGGGATCAGACGTACAGATGTTAATGGCCTGTTTAGACATTCGTAGTCCCTGTTTAACTAATGTCAACAATAAAAAAATCACTAAACAGTGTGAAAAAATGGTTGTAATGAATGAAAATACAATGATGGAAAATCAGAAGTTTGTCGCGGATGTGGCAACCTGCCTCGGAAAGGGAAATCTTGTCGACGTAGAAAGGGACACATGCTACAACAATCGCAACCAAACCGGTTATGAGGCAGCTAGCCAATCCTTCAGTCCAATAATTGAAAAAATGACAGGTTATAACCTTCCTGTTGCCATGGCAACAGCAAATAAAATATGTTCAAAAATTAATAGTTGTAATCATGATGTAAAAAAATGTTCTCTAACTTATAATACTGATGAATCCATTTCTTCGAGTGAGGCGAAACTTGCCAACAAAAACTTGGAGAAAATTCACAGTGCTAAATTACTCACTATAAACTCTGTAACCAGTGACGTGAGTGCTCAAATAGGCAAAGTCGTGAGAGAATTTGGCCAAAAAAATGGTAAAAATATTAAATACTTTCAGTGTTTTGTTCATCGATTACATACTCTCCAGAAAAAAGTGAAAAGCATATGTTTTTCGAAACTTCTGCCTGGTTATCAAAAAGACATTTTTCAGCAAAAACTTGCGACATGTGTACGTTCTTGGGTGAGATTAGAGCTTGTGCGTATTCAAAAAACTCACACTTCTGACACTTTTGCGCCCAAAGCGCTACTGGCAGTAAAAAACATGATAGACTATTTCAGCAGGTCCCACAGTAGATGTGGGGAAAGATCTTTTGTATGCCGAGCTAATACAGATTCATTTAATACACAGTTTCTGCCATACGGACAGTACTTGGAACTTGCGGCTGAAGACCGTGGAAAAATAGAATCTGTATTAAGCAAATCGTTATCACTGGAAGTTTTAAATAAAATATCACTTCTGTATACTACAAATCAATGGGAGAGCCTACATCACAGATTTTTTACGTATGCTCCAAAATCTGTGCTGTATAAAAGAAATTTTAATGGACTTTGTCATTCGGCCTGCCACTCAGCAACATTTGGAACAGGCAGATTATCTGTGCTTTAAGCAAAATGCCTTGGATTAAATTTTTCGAATTGTGCCCCTTTCTTTCAGTTTATGACTCGAAAAGATATACTGTCCTTATATCATTCACAGAGAGAAAAAAAACTGTGAAGTACAAAATACAACGATATCTGGCAAAATGCAGAAAAAGTACGGTAATCGAAAAATTAGACAAGAGTCTCTGTACTCAAATGCATGTTCTGAACTGAATGAAATTCACAATTATGGAAAAAATGTCAATAAACAATAAACTGATAAATTGAAATTATTACCAGTGTTCTTCTTACCTAATTAAAAATACAATTTTTAAAGCCATCATGTCCAAAACATGACTTGGCATGCTTGCAATGATTACGTTGCATGTTAATGTGTCCTGGCTCAAGGGATAAATGTTTTATATTGATACACTTTTTCTCGTGACACATGTGAGAAACATGATAATGCTCATTGGAGAATTTACAGTTATTTTCCAAGAAATGAACTAGTCTGTGCACAGTAAAAACTTGTCGCTTATTTCTGAACTGTGGCATTATAATGGCATAACCATCCGAATCGGTCATGCCATACCAAATATAACAATCATTTAAAACATTATATCTGTAAAGCTTTGATAAAAGAAATTGCTATTCTTCTGCTGTAAAAGCTGTTTCATATACTCTAGACAAGATGAATTTTAAAAAAGTAATAAAGAATCCAACAGTCTGAAACAGTAACATCAAAATCATAAACAATAGAGTCATTAGGGTGTTTTCTGAGGGCTTGAATTTGAAATGTGGAGTGAGTGAGGGGGTACTGTAAACCAAGTATTATACGCGTGCGATAAATATCCGCGAGTTCTGCGAGTAACCTCTGCTCGCGGATATTTATCGTCGCGAACCATTTATTCATTATATTCCCATATCATGATTTATTTAGAGTTATTTGCCCGTTTTTCAATACCGATCCCGACGGTTCAACAAGTAACCACGGAAGAACTTTTCTGTTAGTGTACAAGAAGCAGTTGAAATTTAATTACAAACATTCAGAAAAAATAAAAACGAATGGCAAATCTAAAACTATTTGTCTAAAAATGATTAAAATGTCAATAGTCATTTCAGCTTGTGTTATTATTGTTCATTTTTTGTTACAGACGAGTCAGAGATAGCCTGGTTAATTACGGCTAATTATGGCCCAGTCCTGCTCTGTCCCAATTATTTATAATAATTGCCCATTGGCCGTGTAGATCTTAGAAAGCGTCGATTCAATTACCCAATTAGTATGAGGCACTTTTACAATTGAGAGTTTTAAAATCAATTTTCATCTCCTAGATTTTTCCCCGATTTTCGTTTAAGCGTTGTGAAAATGCGAATGAAGTATATTCATGGTAAACATTTTACCATTTTAGGGGCGGATATAAGATTTTAAATGGACGCAATGCACAGAATGTTTTGAATAATGCGTAAGCAGACCTCACGCAGCCATTTTACCTAGTTTATGGGCGGATATAAAATTTTTATTTGATTCAAAAATACTCGTAGAAATAAAAAAAAAATGCGATCACTCGTTCGCGGAAATAAATCGTCGCGGATAAGTTCTCTGGCGGTCAGTCGCGAATAAAAAATGACGCGTATAATAATTGGTTTACAGTATTCAACACCCAACAGAGCTGTGAAAGATGTATCTAATGCATTAAACCAGAGAAAATGTAAACATAAACCTATACTGCATTGTTATGTATATTAAATAAAACTAAGATATCAACTTTCTCTAGCCTAAAGGTAAATAAATGAAGAAAAATGTAATTTTCTCTCCTTCCTTAAGGGTGCAAAACACAGTTTTAAGTATGACGTCATTGTGACTTTATCAAGTGAGTGACAAGCAAAAGTGACCCCTATAAAAAACAATATGAAGCCTTATTACATAGACATCTATATATCAATGGAAAGTTTTTTAAATATCAAGGAATAATCCATTCATCACTTACTACAAACATGTATTTGAGGCACAAAATACAAGGAAAAAGGGGCATTTATGTGTCCGAAAGGAGTACGCATATGCATTTTTACCCCCCTTGAGTAACAAACAGCGAAAAAATCAGAAAATATCAGTTTTATGCATTTGACAGAACAAGTCCTTAGCTTTCTTTTTGATGTACTTTCAGGGTACATTTTCCAGCTTTTAAAAGAGCTACTTTACCTGCTAATCCACTTATGTAATTCTGCACGTGTGAAAACCGGATGTTTTGAGAGTTACCTCCCACTATTAAAATGTCACAAAAAAAATAATTTTAAAGAAATATATGCATATTTCTTTCATTTTATTGTAAGATAAGACTCTACCTTATGCAAGCAAATTAAAACAAAAAAAGATGCAATGTTTATGTACAATTTCTATAAATAGCAGGCAAACCCCTACCCAGCATGCTTCTCTCGGGGAAAACCCCCCTGGATTTTATATGAAACTGTGTCTAGCTACCTTAAAGGAAATAAAACATTTTTGTAATTGCTTTTTTTAAATTTAGACACAAAGAGGACAAAATTACAAAAAGTTTGGTGTATAAAAAGTTGAATTTGGTCAAGAAATAGCCAAGATATTGTCAATTTAGTACGACATGTTTATGACATTGTACGACTTCTTAAACAGGACTGGGCGGATAAATTTCAAAACTGACAATTGACTTCCAAGTTCTACTTCATTTCATATAATGAACACCAATGAGCAAGCTCAGCTTTTGAATATTAATAGCATGTTAGAATATGAATGGAAGAAATCTAAAAACAAGTGAAATTTTCTATATTTTACCCAAATATCTAGATGTAATTTCAACAATCAGGAATAAATTTAATGTGAAACAGGCACAGTAGTGTTAAACTGACAGATTGACCCAAAAGTCTGGACAATGTAAAAAATACTCATTAATTTATGTCATATAAAAATATTGAATATATGTTTTAATAGAAACCAATATCTATATGCATGTATTCTCAATCAACCATGAATAAGTGTCTTCAAGGTCATGACCTCATGAAGCTGACATCACACTTTGACGTCATAATCACACTTTGACGTCATAATGCAAATGCATCATAATGTAAAATAACACATCACAATTACCTTTGTGGTGTCATAATATGGCATATCACAGTCTTATCTATCATACATGTATCTATGCATACCATGAACATGTGACCACTGTGTAATAATTTCATGATTTAAACAATAACATGCCTCCAGCTGAAAGGCGCAAGCCAGGAAGGAAAACGAAGAGTAACACATTCAGAAAAGGACACCAACCGTGGAACAAGGAGAAGAAGTTGTCTCTCAGCAATGACGTCTGCAACACAGCGCTCACTAGTGTCACTCGTCCAGATATGACCGTTTACAAAGCCATGTCAAAGAACTACGATGGACCTACTAAGACTGTTCCCTGGAAGTTGAGACCTAAAAAGCAAATAACAGATTTAAAGGAAACATGTGAAGATTCATCAGAGAATATCATTGTTAACTTTACAAAATTACAAGATTGTATTAAATTATGCATGCGCCACAACTGTAAAAGGCCGGATAGTGTGAACACGTCAATTGTTCACAGAAAGGGAATGTGTATATCACTTCAAACTAAATGTAATAGATGTTCATTTGATACCAAACCATGCAAGTTATACACAGAATGTATAAAACAAAACAGGGGTCCAGCAGCTGGATGTTTAAATGAGGGACTATCTATGGCCACTCTGAAATCAAAAATGGGGGGATCAGACGTACAGATGTTAATGGCCTGTTTAGACATTCGTAGTCCCTGTTTAACTAATGTCAACAATAAAAAAATCACTAAACAGTGTGAAAAAATGGTTGTAATGAATGAAAATACAATGATGGAAAATCAGAAGTTTGTCGCGGATGTGGCAACCTGCCTCGGAAAGGGAAATCTTGTCGACGTAGAAAGGGACACATGCTACAACAATCGCAACCAAACCGGTTATGAGGCAGCTAGCCAATCCTTCAGTCCAATAATTGAAAAAATGACAGGTTATAACCTTCCTGTTGCCATGGCAACAGCAAATAAAATATGTTCAAAAATTAATAGTTGTAATCATGATGTAAAAAAATGTTCTCTAACTTATAATACTGATGAATCCATTTCTTCGAGTGAGGCGAAACTTGCCAACAAAAACTTGGAGAAAATTCACAGTGCTAAATTACTCACTATAAACTCTGTAACCAGTGACGTGAGTGCTCAAATAGGCAAAGTCGTGAGAGAATTTGGCCAAAAAAATGGTAAAAATATTAAATACTTTCAGTGTTTTGTTCATCGATTACATACTCTCCAGAAAAAAGTGAAAAGCATATGTTTTTCGAAACTTCTGCCTGGTTATCAAAAAGACATTTTTCAGCAAAAACTTGCGACATGTGTACGTTCTTGGGTGAGATTAGAGCTTGTGCGTATTCAAAAAACTCACACTTCTGACACTTTTGCGCCCAAAGCGCTACTGGCAGTAAAAAACATGATAGACTATTTCAGCAGGTCCCACAGTAGATGTGGGGAAAGATCTTTTGTATGCCGAGCTAATACAGATTCATTTAATACACAGTTTCTGCCATACGGACAGTACTTGGAACTTGCGGCTGAAGACCGTGGAAAAATAGAATCTGTATTAAGCAAATCGTTATCACTGGAAGTTTTAAATAAAATATCACTTCTGTATACTACAAATCAATGGGAGAGCCTACATCACAGATTTTTTACGTATGCTCCAAAATCTGTGCTGTATAAAAGAAATTTTAATGGACTTTGTCATTCGGCCTGCCACTCAGCAACATTTGGAACAGGCAGATTATCTGTGCTTTAAGCAAAATGCCTTGGATTAAATTTTTCGAATTGTGCCCCTTTCTTTCAGTTTATGACTCGAAAAGATATACTGTCCTTATATCATTCACAGAGAGAAAAAAAACTGTGAAGTACAAAATACAACGATATCTGGCAAAATGTAGAAAAAGTACGGTAATCGAAAAATTAGACAAGAGTCTCTGTACTCAAATGCATGTTCTGAACTGAATGAAATTCACAATTATGGAAAAAATGTCAATAAACAATAAACTGATAAATTGAAATTATTACCAGTGTTCTTCTTACCTAATTAAAAATACAATTTTTAAAGCCATCATGTCCAAAACATGACTTGGCATGCTTGCAATGATTACGTTGCATGTTAATGTGTCCTGGCTCAAGGGATAAATGTTTTATATTGATACACTTTTTCTCGTGACACATGTGAGAAACATGATAATGCTCATTGGAGAATTTACAGTTACTTTCCAAGAAATGAACTAGTCTGTGCACAGTAAAAACTTGTCGCTTATTTCTGAACTGTGGCATTATAATGGCATAACCATCCGAATCGGTCATGCCATACCAAATATAACAATCATTTAAAACATTATATCTGTAAAGCTTTGATAAAAGAAATTGCTATTCTTCTGCTGTAAAAGCTGTTTCATATACTCTAGACAAGATGAATTTTAAAAAAGTAATAAAGAATCCAACAGTCTGAAACAGTAACATCAAAATCATAAACAATAGAGTCATTAGGGTGTTTTCTGAGGGCTTGAATTTGAAATGTGGAGTGAGTGAGGGGGTATTCAACACCCAACAGAGCTGTGAAAGATGTATCTAATGCATTAAACCAGAGAAAATGTAAACATAAACTTATACTGCATTGTTATGTATATTAAATAAAACTAAGATATCAACTTTCTCTAGCCTAAAGGTAAATAAATGAAGAAAAATGTAATTTTCTCTCCTTCCTTAAGGGTGCAAAACACAGTTTTAAGTATGACGTCATTGTGACTTTATCAAGTGAGTGACAAGCAAAAGTGACCCCTATAAAAAACAATATGAAGCCTTATTACATAGACATCTATATATCAATGGAAAGTTTTTTAAATATCAAGGAATAATCCATTCATCACTTACTACAAACATGTATTTGAGGCACAAAATACAAGGAAAATAGGGGCATTTATGTGTCCGAAAGGAGTACGCATATGCATTTTTACCCCCCTTGAGCAACAAACAGCGAACAAATCAGAAAATATCAGTTTTATGCATTTGACAGAATAAGTCCTTAGCTTTTCTTTTTGATGTACTTTCAGGGTACATTTTCCAGCTTTTAAAGAGCTACTTTACCTGCTAATCCACTCACGTAATTCTGCACGTGTGAAAACCGGATGTTTTGAGAGTTACCTCCCACTAGTAGATTCTAGTTTGTTCAAATCATGACCCTTTGGGGGGTTTTAATTCAAGCCCTCCCCTCCATCAGTAAACTCAGTTCTGATCTGATTTGTGCTAGCTGATGTGCTCAGGTGAGCGCTGTGGCCCCTGGGCCTCTTGTTTAAATTATGTAAATGAACACAAAATATATTTTCAGATTTCGTCGACAAACTCATGTGACACCAAAATCTTATTTATCATTTTTGGATGGATACAAAAACCTTTATGGGAAAAAGCATGCAGAAATAAATGAAATGGCAAGCAGGATGAATACTGGTTTAGAAAAACTCATTGAAGCAAGTGCATCTGTGGACCAGCTATCAAAAGAATTAGCTGTAAAGGAAAAGGAATTGGCTGTAGCAAATGTAAAAGCTGATAAAGTAAGTGTCTATCAGAATCCCAAACTGTAAGTGAGTACCCTTGGTAAAAAAAAAAAGAGAAAATAAATTGAGGTCTGACAAAAAAGTTCTTATTTGATTACAGGTTTTGGCAGAAGTAACCGTCAGTGCTACTGCAGCAGAAAAAGTAAAAAGTGAAGTGCAGAAAGTGAAGGACAGAGCCCAGAAGATTGTTGATGAAATTGAGGAGGATAAAAAAATAGCTGAACAAAAACTTGAAGCTGCCAAACCTGCTCTCCAGGAAGCTGAAGATGCTTTAAAGGTAATGGTTCAGCTGTGAATATCTTCTTCTCCCCTGACAGAAAATTAGGTTTACTTGACAGGAAATAAAATATACTATATGTGCCTTTATTATATCCCATGCCTGAAAAAGAGATGGGAGTGCCTGTTCACTACACTTAAAGATAGGCATGTATTATCCACAATTCCTATTACAAATTTGACTGCAGTTTAATGAGTCATTCGCAAAATCCTTTAACACTGTTTATTATGTTTCAATCGGACACATAGCAAGACATAGACTTGTTCTATCTTTCTTTCTATAAAAATGGGATATCCACTTCTTATCTGCAACTTCTCCCATGCCACTGAATAAAATTAGAGACTTGCATCATTAAAATGCTATTGTTACCTGTTATTTTACATTTGCCTAATCAGAAATAGGAACAAATGCTTTGCCATTCTCAGGGTAGCCATTACTTATCTGCAATTCCTCTTACACCACTGAATGATATTTAATGAAATTTGCACAGAATGAACATAAAGTATAGTGTCCTGATGCATCTTAGCAAAACATGCTTTATAATTGCCATATTTAACATGGGGGAACCCATCTCTTGTTGGTAACTCCTCTTAATCACTTAGGTATAAGATTTAATGAGCCTTTCACAGAGACTTTATTACATAGTGACTGCTAAGTTAGCTTGGTTGAGCAATCGCCCTGTGATAGGGAGGCCTTGGGCTTGAACCCCAGCAGCTGCTGATGCAAGTCCATAAAAAAGTAGGTAAAAACTATACCTTTTTGAAGCGCTCAGCACTTTGAAGTAAAAGTTATGGGACCTTCAGTTGAGACTTTTAAACCCGAGCCCCATGTCACAGCAGACATATTAAAATACCTCACTGCTCTTTTTTTTCTCTCATAGTACATCACAAATTATTCAATATTTCAGACAATAAAACCAGCTGATATTGCAACAGTCAAGAAGCTTGGGAAGCCCCCACATTTGATCATGAGGATTATGGACTGTGCCTTGATTCTGTTCCAAAAAAAGCTAGATCCAGTTACACAGGACCCTGATCGACCATGTCCAAAACCATCATGGGGAGAGTCTCTTAAGGTACATGTGTATTTCATTCATTGTACTTTTTTTATGGAGGAGCTGAAGTTAAGATAGTATGCATTAAGTTGAATATGCTCTAATAAGTATTCATGATACATGGTGATATCAGAGGCCTTTTTATGCATATAGAGAGACTATAACTTGGAGATGGAATAGAAACAGTATTTCAATATTTTTATTTTGCGCCCGAATGTATTCGGGGCGCATATTGTTTTTGTCCTGTCTGTCTGTTTGTCTGTTTATCTGTTTGTCCGTTTATCTGTTTGTCTGTCTGTTGTCAACTTTAACCTTCGCCATAACTTTTGAACCGTGAGAGTTAGAGACTTCATATTTGGTATGCATACTCCACTAATTAAGCACTTTCAACTGACACCAAGGACAATGACCTTGTGACC